AGATGAACAAAAAGAACAGAAAAGATAAAGAGCTAATGCAAATAGCACATTGTGATAACACCATCTCCATGAGACTTACTTGGCCAAGAGCCACCATTGTGATAACTCCATGAAACTTCTCTGGGTTATCTGTTGTTGTTCAGAAATCTTCTTTACAAGTTAAATCCTTGAACACACTCACTCATATTGTTAATATTACGGAATAAATGGCCTAGGCGGGCGCTAGGCGGTCTTGGCGGTCTAGGCGGTTGCTAGGCAGGCGCTAAGCGGTCTAGGCGGTTGCTAGGCGGTCTAGGCGGGCGCTAGGCGGGCTAGGCGAGCTAGGCAGGCTAGGCGGTTGCTAGGCAGTCACTAGGCGGTTGCTAGGATCATCAATGGTGAAAAAGTTGAAACGGGGTGTATTGTTAGGGAAAATAGGAGGGCTTTGTAGCACGCCACCACCAATTTCGAGACTTGACGAGGGTTACTATCAGCAAAACAACAACAGCAAACCCTACTCTAAATTTCTCCCACAACTCTTCAGAATTTCATCCAGTTTTGGGATCAGACGATAATTCTTCGGAATATTACGACGATGATGACAATGACGAAGAAGATGGCGGTGGCTGGGAGCGTAGTACAGTTTAAAATATTCTGTTTAAATAGTATAGCCGAGCGGCTATACGTTAAACATATTCTATTTACAGAGTATAGCCGGGCGGCTATACGTTCAGAATATTCTGTTTATATCGTATAGCCGGACGGCTATACGCTTTAACACATTCCATTTGTAGAGTCCAGCCGCCCGGCTAGACTGTTAGATATTCTATTTATAGACAAAATGAATAAGTTTTATTGTTGATTAGAGCCACTCTATTAGATTGACAAATAGCAATCCGTAGGTTATAGTTCTAGGTTGTGTGGACAGCGAGACTAAAGTAAGCTCAAACAAGAACACATGTTAGGAGTTTTGTTAGAGTGCTTGCTCATTCATTATGAGCTAGAGAACCAACCTGTATTGAGCTTGAGCTCTGGGGACAAGACAGCGTGAACAAATTCTTGGTTCCAGCGTCACTGCATACACCATATTCAATAAACAAAATTGCATTAGTGCTCTCGTCTCTAAGTGAAAATAATCTGATAACGGGCTACTTAGGTTTGCTGAATCATGATCTGTGTTTAATTTACAGATATTCAAATGCTACATGTCTTTCTGGCCCCCTTTTCTAGATGTCCATCTTAACAGTTCACACGCTATAAATCGTAGCGCGCATGATTAAAAAAAAGCCTCTCGCACGTGAGGAAGCGCGTGTAGGGAGGCTAGTTACTAATTAAAGTGATTAAAAAAGGACAAGATGTTACTTAATTACATATATTAAATTAAAGAGGTTAGCCCCAAAAAAAAAGTAAAGAAACTAATTTTATATTTCAAAAATTAAAATTTTAAATAAAATAAACATAACACCTTTCCCGACGAAATTTCGTCGGCACAGACCTATGCCGGCAAACCTTTGTCGGATTAGGTTTTTCGCGACGAAAGAGCCTCTATCGACGAAATTTCGTCGGGAGAAGTCTATTGACTTGCGCCGACAAAATTTCGTCGGAAGAGGTCCTTTTAAAAAATATATATATAAACTTAGGATATTTGGGTTAATTAATTTTTTTTTTAAATTTTATTGTTAGTAATTAAATAATATATTTGCTTTATTTAATTAGTTAAGCTAGTAATTATATTTTAATTATTATTTATTTAGTGAATAATTAGTATTAAAATTTTTAATTAACTTCATGAATTATGTTACTTAATAAATAGTAATTCAATCTTTCTTTTTTC